ATACTGATATTTTGGACGTAAATCAAGTATACGTCCTTTGACAGAAGAGAGACACGATTTTTTGCCGCTTTTTAGCTGTAACTTTGTCAAAACAAGCGGGACAGCTCAACCAATGACTGTTTTTTGTAGATGACTACCGAGACTTGAGACCCCTTTACTTACTTTTACCATGATTATTTTGAGTTTTTGCTGCGAAAGATGATTTAATGACTAAGAAGTCAAAAAACTTATTTTTAACAGAAATTTGCAATATTACTTGTGGCTTTCTAGCTCTATCTTGGTCAAAACAAGACTCACAGTCAAAAGAACGACTGTTTTGTGCTGCTAACGACCAACACTAACCACCCCTATCATTCGTTTTTCGATTTTGGGAAAATCAATTTTGGCCCAAATTTCGCATTTTTGATAAGGGGTACCATCATCAAAATTTGCAAAAAATGGGAAAAATTGAAGTGTCTCAGATTTGAATGCAATTCGATTGGGAATCACAGCAATCCTATTGCGAGCCCTACGAGATATGAGATTCCATATTTGGACCATTTTTGGCTGTGTTATGAAGAAAATACTGATATTTTGGACGTAAATCAAGTATACGTCCTTTGACAGAAGAGAGACACGATTTTTTGCCGCTTTTTAGCTGTAACTTTGTCAAAACAAGCGGGACAGCTCAACCAATGACTGTTTTTTGTAGATGACTACCGAGACTTGAGACCCCTTTACTTACTTTTACCATGATTATTTTGAGTTTTTGCTGCGAAAGATGATTTAATGACTAAAAAGTCAAAAAACCTATTTTTAACAGAAATTTGCAATATTACTTGTGGCTTTCTAGCTCTATTTTGGTCAAAACAAGACTCACAGTCAAAAGAACGACTGTTTTGTGCTGCTAACGACCAACACTAACCACCCCTATCATTCGTTTTTCGATTTTGGGAAAATCAATTTTGGCCCAAATTTCGCATTTTTGATAAGGGGTACCATCATCAAAATTTGCGAAAAATGGGAAAAATTGAAGTGTCTCAGATTTGAATGCAATTCGATTGGGAATCACAGCAATCCTATTGCGAGCCCTACGAGATATGAGATTCCATATTTGGACCATTTTTGGCTGTGTTATGAAGAAAATACTGATATTTTGGACGTAAATCAAGTATACGTCCTTTGACAGCAGAAATACACTATTTTTTGCCGCTTTTTAGCTGTAACTTTGTCAAAACAAGCGGGACGGCTCAACCAATGACTGTTTTTTGTAGATGACTACCGAGACTTAACACCCCTTTACTTACTTTTACCAGGATTATTTTGAGTTTTTGCTGCGAAAGCTGATTTAATGACTAAAAAGTCAAAAAACCTATTTTTAACAGAAATTTGCAATATTACTTGTGGCTTTCTAGCTCTATCTTGGTCAAAACAAGACTCACAGTCAAAAGAACGACTGTTTTGTGCTGCTAACGACCAACACTAACCACCCCTATCATTCGTTTTTCGATTTTGGGAAAATCAATTTAGGCCCAAATTTCGCATTTTTGATAAGGGGTACCATCATCAAAATTTGCGAAAAATGGGAAAAATTGAAGTGTCTCAGATTTGAATGCAATTCGATTGGGAATCACAGCAATCCTATTGCGAGCCCTACGAGATATGAGATTCCATATTTGGACCATTTTTGGCTGTGTTATGAAGAAAATACTTATATTTTGGACGTAAATCAAGTATACGTCCTTTGACAGCAGAAATACACGAGTTTTTGCCGCTTTTTAGCTGCAACTTTGTCAAAACAAGCGGGACGGCTTAACCAATGACTGTTTTTTGTAGATGACCACCGAGACTTAAGACCCCTTTACTTACTTTTACCAGGATTATTTTGAGTTTTTGCTGCGAAAGCTGATTTAATGACTAAAAAGTCAAAAAACCTATTTTTAACAGAAATTTGCAATATTACTTGTGGCTTTCTAGCTCTATCTTGGTCAAAACAAGACTCACAGTCAAAAGAACGACTGTTTTGTGCTGCTAACGACCAACACTAACCACCCCTATCATTCGTTTTTCGATTTTGGGAAAATCAAATTTGGCCCAAATTTCGCATTTTTGATAAGGGGTACCATCGTCAAATCTGTCAAAAATCGGCCAAAAATGAAGTTTTCCAGATTTGAATGCAAATCAATTGGGAATCATACCAATCAAATTATGAGCACTACAAGGTATTACATTCCTCATTTTTGGCTGTGCTATGACCAAAAAACTGATTTTTTGTGCTCTTACTGACTTTTTACAAAAAATGTTCGATTTTAGATAACAATTTAGAAATATTTATAAAAATATATATATCTAGTAGGCATAAAAAACTTAATAATTACATTTAATGGCTTGGAATTTAAAGTTTTTTAAATTTGCATAACATCTAAAAGTTTTATGGCTCACATTCTAGGCATAAAATTCAAAGCCCTTTTTCTGTTTTTTATTAAAATGGATTTTTATCACCGAAATGCAAATCACCTCGGAAACTCTAGCAAAAAAAAAAATCACAGCTAACTCTACAAAAAATAGATTTTTATATATGGAAAAATTACTAGATTTCTCCCTGGGGTTATACAATTTCCAACCCAAACCTACCTGAGGGTCAATCTCATCAATTTCAGCTTGTTGAATGTTGAACCTCCTTTTTCAGCCTCCTTTTTTAGCCTCCCTACCAACCCTCATCATTCCTAATCAAATCGTAGAAAGAGAAACGGCATCGAAATAAAAATACCTAATGCGCCTTCCCAAAGGTCGCATTAAAACTCAACCGAAATGTACTTTGAAAAATGGTGTGAAAAACACAGGGGAAACCCTACGATAGAAGAAATGTTCGCATTAAACGAATTTTGCATGAATGTGTTGCAATTAACGATGCAGAGCAGCTGCAATCAGGTAGTGAAACAATTTACAGTGAAAGGTAGAAAAGTATAAGCAATTTTTCAGTGATTTTACACTGCTAAAGTGAGAAACTCTCAACTGATTGCAAGACCTAAAACATTTTCAAAATAATTTTTAAAAACTGATAACAAGAGAAAATAATAATAATTTCCATTCGTCATACTTATTTCTCTTATTGCAAGCTAAGCAAATATCAATAACCATTGTGAAAAATGTTTAAATATGAAATAAAGTTTGTACTATTTTCACCATCACTGTAAATTTATTGACAGGAAGATCGAATCGATGATTATTGTTGCAACGCCTCAATAATTCTGGCAGTTATTTTGTTTGCATTTTTTTTGAAAAATGGTCACAAAAAACAACATCAGAGGGTGCCAACCGTCAGGCAAATATTGGTTGCCAATGGGCAAATGCAGAAATGCAAACGGACTTCTGCTGGCCATGCTGTAAGTTGACCATGTGAGATGATGGCCAGAACCGGCAATGATTGCCATGGCGTTTCGCCAAGCGAATATGTATATGGCAATGGTCAATGCTAATTGCCAATTATGGACAAATTCGTCCGAGCGCGAAATTAAATTAACCCCTTTTTTGTGCCACCCCACAAACAGTCCCCCTCCTCCCCCACCAACAACAACAACAACAACAATAACGTAGGATGAAAATCCGCATCTGCAATCCTCAACCGCGTCATCAATCAGAAGCAGCAGGCGACAAAACACAAACTACGCGATGTGCAAATATGAAATATTTATGGCCACATATCTGCCTGAATTGTTGCCGAGGACATCGGGGCATACGCGAATTGGTTACGGCCTTTGGTCGCTCAAACAACTTGATGACGGCAAGGCCAATTAGTCCTGTCCAGTTGATGACTTTAAATGGTTTAACTGAGAGGTAAGTAAGGTAATAATCAAAAGATTCCAAAGATTAGGAAAGTGATCTTTTCATCACTTATTATCCTTTTCCCATTACTTGCTTATTTTTTAACTCAATTACGACAATAAAAAGAGTAATCACTGTTAATGGCAACATATCGATTCGGCAATTATAAATTGTAAAGCACAAAGGGAGCTGGTGGGTAAAAAAGCAAGCCCCAATAATGCCCCAAATGAGTTAAGTGGCGAGCAGAATCGGAATTATTTTACCCTTCAGTCGCCCTCAATCTGAGCATTAAATATGTTATATAATAAAAAGTTGCCATAGTTTTCCTTTCGCTGCGCGCTGGGCCTGCCAATGTAATTTCGTTTTCGTTTTTGTCGCGATTTTTGCAGCGCGGAAAATGCTGTCAAGTGTAAAAAATAATAACACGCATCGCGTCAGATTTTCCATGTTTGGTTATGATAATGGAAGGCACAATGAGAGCCCGTTGGATATCCTTTTTTTTTCTGCCATGTGGTTTTGCCGCTGTCAGGAAGGACTTTTCTGGCACATGACATAAGCACATGGGCATTGTGGTTTATAAATGATTCACAAAACTGTACGTATTGTCTTAACGCATCAAAGGCAATGTTTGTCACAGGAAGCAATGAATTCGATTCCAAGTTTCAGCGGGAGTTCTCGGAAAGGGTAAATAAAAACAAGTTGGTAATGCTTTATGGTAGAGTTTCAACTTTATGATACTCTCTTGTTATTTTTGTATAAGGTTTTATTTATTTTATTTTTCCAGTTACACCTACCTTCGATATACCTTTTATTTTAACACATACAGGGTATAAAAAGAAAACAAAATGTAAATGGTTTTCAGCATAAATAAAATTATCCATCGATTACTTTAATGGCGGAGGACATTTTCCGGTAAGGGGAATACAAATACGTATCATTGATGTTTTGCCATCACCTTTTTAATCAAGTCTTTTGATTTCATTTTGACAGGTTACAAGGTTCTTTGTTTTTATTATATTTTACATCAGCTAATAAAAACATTGAATTTGGTATTTGTATTTGAATCGTTTTTTTTACCAATGTTAAAGGAACAAAAAACCTTTTAAAGTAAAAATAATAAAAGGAAATTCCTTTTACTTTGCTAAGCCTGTCATATGTTAGCGCTGTTTAAATTCATTCAATAAGTTTGCCTAATCATGACTGTGACCTATACCTCTCGTGTGAACACATCGAGTGTGGTTAGTAACTTTTTGGGTCTGCTGGTCAGGTTGGTATACTCAGGTTTATATTCATCTTAATTTAAGATTTTAAAATATTAAAACTTAAAATATTATCGTAAAGATGGCGCGGCAGTGTTTACAAATTACTATGGTTAGACCTTATTGCGTTCTTTGGATTGTACGTCTTACTGGCTATTATATATCGCTTGTTGATCAACGAAGAGGGGAAAAGGTAAGTTTTCATTTATTTCATTCACTAGCTTAAAAATATATATGCTTCAGATTTTTTGAGGCCATCATGCAGTATTGTGAGGTGAATGGTTCCCTCATTCCATTATCCTTTGTCCTGGGCTTCTTTGTGAGAATCGTGATGAAGCGATGGTGGGAGCAATACACCACCATTCCCTGGCCAGATGCGATTGCCATTTTAATCAGTGCCAGTATCCACGGCAGCGATGACAGAGCCAGGGTCATGAGGCGCACTATCCTGCGATATGTCTGCCTGTGTCAGGTTATAGTTTTCACCATGATTTCGCCTCGCGTTAAGCGTCGTTTTCCTACGTATAATCAATTAATTGAAGCTGGTTTTTTGCTGGAAAATGAAAAGAAGATCATTGAGGCCTTGGATCAAGCCTTTCCGAGTTATCCAAAGCACTGGATGCCCATCGTTTGGGCAGCCAGCATTGTGATGAGAGCTCGGAGGGAGAATAAAATCCGAGATGATTATGCCGTAAAGACGATCATTGATGAGTTGAACGATTTTCGCGGTAACTGTCAAGTTTTGCTCTACTACGATTGGGTTTCTGTTCCATTGGTCTACACCCAAGTGGTCACTGTGGCCACCTATACCTTCTTTTTGTTCAGCATGCTTGGACAACAGTGGAAGGAAACACAAATTGATCCGGATGGATACAGTATAAAGAGATGGTTCCCCATTCTGACCTTACTTCAGTTTTTCTTTTACATGGGTTGGCTAAAAGTAGCCGAGACCTTGATCAATCCTTTCGGAGAGGATGATGACGACTTTGAGGTGAGATACTCTTATATACATTGATGGGTATTTCTTTATAATCAAGCAAAAATGTAACGATCGTTTATCTACAGCTTAACTGGATTATCGATCGCAACATCACTGTGGCCTATTGCATTGTAGACGAAATGCATCAGGAGCACCCGGAACTTGTTAGGGATCAGTACTGGGATGAGGTCTTCCCGAGTGAAATTCATTACACTGTCTCAAAAATGCGACAAAATCCACCGGCAGCTTCTACTGCCTATATGGAAACGCAGCCCCAATCCGCACCTAAGGTATAATAATATAATATTATTACATTTATGGAAATGATTTGAATAATTATTTTCTTACCATTTTTCTTTCTTTAATTCAGAAACGTTTGGATTCGGAAATGTCGATTAGCAGCTTCCGCACGGGACCGAACTTTTTGGGAAGACCATCTGCCACTGGCAGCTACTCAGACTCTTTCGTTGTGGAAGATGGACCTTCCCGACGGACTTTCAGTGAAAATAAGTTAGTTTTGGGACAGGATAACCCGCAAGGCTCTAATAAGTCGTCGCTGTTGACAAGTAAGTAGAGTTTTAATTTGTAATCTTAAATTATATAAACGCTATATTCCACAGTTAATTTCGATGAGTTAATCGAGCAGCGTCGTCGTGAACGCAGGGAACGCTTGCGCCATCGCATCTTGGACATGACCCAGATCCGCCACGATACCTCCGGTGCCCCCTACAGTGTCACTGTTCTGCGTCCACCGTCCGATGAAACTATATCTGAAGGCCAAGAAACAGTGGAAGAAAAGCAGCAGGAACCTTCGGGCAATGGAAATCCATCAAATAAATCAGAAAAGGAGGATTAGAGTTATAATATATATATTGTTATTATTATTATATATATAATAAATAAAAATTGTTTAATTCAGAATAATTCACCCTAATATTTGTGTCAGGTCGAGGCTTACACCCTCGTTTATTTCGTCGGTGTTGATGTTCTGCGTCTTTTTCAAGAATAAGCTTAAAGCAGTGCTTTAAAGGAATAAAACGACGATCTGACGAGTAATTCAGAGTCACTATCATCATCGCATGCACTGAGGGAAAAAAATCTCTTTTTTGCTAACCGATTAATCACTCTTTTACTGACTCGCCAAATAGTCCATTGCGAAATAAACTCCAAAGCGCAAACAGAAGTTATAAGGAATGATTTCCAGTACATATGTACGAAGATGAACGAAGGATCAAGGAAGAAAGAAGATCGAATTGTTATGTCTTGGGTTGGTGACGGAATGAGACGGAAAGAGGAAAACGAAGGCAGTGAGCATTTACAAAAACAAACAGCCCTGACATTCAGCAGTACATAGTTTTGTCTCACCTACTCTTTACATTTGGTTAACTATCTGTTCGTACTCGTATAACATGAGAAAGGACCGAATTATGAACGAACTAGAAACGAGGGATCCAACACCTATGATGAGAAGAGCCATACAAATAATATTTTTGTGGGTTAGGAATCTATAGGAATCTTTGAGTTTTGCTGTCAATTCTTTAACAGTTTAGAAATTGGAACTTTATAATTCTTAGTTTTCAAACATGACTGTGACTTACACCTCCAGCGTAAGTACCTCAAGTGTAGTGAACAATTTTCTCGGATTGTTGGTCAGGCAAGTCCTCCTAAGGAAGTAATGAAAAAAATAGCTTGATATTAATATATTTCACAGATGGCGTGGTAGTATTTACAAGTTGATCTGGGTGGATCTTATTATCTTTTTTGGGCTGTACTTCTTGCTAGCGATAACATACCGTTGGTTGATGAACGAAGAGGCCAAAAGGTAAGTTTAAGTTAATTTCTTTAGCCAAATCAGTTTCTATGCTATTTTAGACTTTTTGAGACCGTTTCCTCATATTGTTTGGACAAGGGTTCCCTTATTCCCCTGTCTTTCGTGATGGGGTTTTACATAACAATAGTGATGAGGCGCTGGTGGGATCAATACACCACCATACCTTGGCCAGACGGAATTGCCATTTTGGTCAGCACCAGTATCCACGGCAGCGATGACAGAGCCAGGGTCATGAGGCGCACTATCCTGAGATATGTCTGCCTGTGTCAGGTTATAGTTTTCACCATGATCTCGCCTCGCGTTAAGCGTCGTTTCCCCACTTATAATCAAATCATTGAAGCTGGTTTTATGGTGGAAAATGAAAAGAAGATCATGGAGGCCTTGGATCAAGCCTTTCCAAGTTATCCAAAGCACTGGATGCCCATTGTTTGGGCAGCCAGCATTGTGATGAGAGCTCGGAGGGAGAATAAGATCCGGGATGATTACGCCGTTAAGACGATCATTGATGACCTGAACAAATTTCGCGGATATTGTGGTTTTTTGCTCTACTACGATTGGGTTTCTGTTCCATTGGTCTACACGCAAGTGGTCACATTGGCCACCTATTCCTTTTTCCTTTTTAGTGCCCTTGGGCAGCAATGGACTGAAAGTAGGGACCAGCAGGGGCTAAGTGTTATGAAATGGTTCCCTATCCTGACCTTACTTCAGTTTTTCTTTTACATGGGTTGGCTTAAGGTTGCCGAATCCTTGATCAACCCCTTTGGAGAGGATGACGATGATTTTGAGGTGAGATAATATTTCCACATTTATTGATTTTTATATGTAACTTTGGTCACTTCTCTCATTAGCTTAATTGGATTATTGATCGAAACATAACCGTTGCCTACTGCATTGTGGACGAGATGCACCAGGAGCATCCGACTCTGGTTAAAGATCAGTACTGGGACGAGGTCTTCCCTAATGAAATGCCCTACGCTGTGCCAAAGATGCGTCAAAATCCACCTTCAGCTTCGACTGCATATATGAAAAACACGCAAAAGGTAGCTATGATATATGACGTTAGAATAATATATTTTTTTTTTTCATTTTTAAGTCCTCAAAATCGGACTCGCCGCATTCTTCTGCATCTGCCACCCATGCATATGCCTACTATGAAGCCTTCCTGCCTAGACCATCACGTAGAGGCAGTTTCTTAAACTTTCAAATGGAAGACGGGCCATCACGTGAGACATTCAGGGAGAACCTGGTTCAGTCACAGCTGTATAGTACAAGCAAACCGTCTCAATCCACAAGTAACAAAAATGATTTATAATTTTGTTGTATTTTATTTAAAAACTCTTTTTTCACAGTTGATTTTAATGAGCTGAAGGAGCAGCGTCGTCGGGAACGCAGAGAACGCAATCGTCACCGAATTATGGACATGCGAAATAACCATCTTCTGCAATATCCATCCGGTACTTCCTACTCCGCTACCCTTGCTCCTTCTACATCAGTTGAAGCTACGTTGAAAAACTGGGAAAAATCAAATTCCTCAAGCAAATCTGAAAAACAAGATTAGACTGGTGATTAGTCACTAAAACAAAACTATTTTAATTCATTTTCCTTTTGTGAAAAAAAACTTTTGTAATAAACAAATTTATTCACACTGTAATCAAATGACCCCGTTTTATGATGAATTCGTAAAAAGGATCTTAAATATATGATAAATGGTGTAGTTCTTATCGGTCTGAATCCTGAATTGTACGTCATCAGCATCTCGTCAACAATAGATAAGATAACTAACCTGCAGAAAACGATCACTAAGCTAGATCAACTAGATCAACTTTCATTTTTACAGGCTTTAAGGAGAAGTCATATCAGATGCTTTTGGCTCAGACTCCTTAGTGAAATATTGTAAAATAGTTTTATTTTGGTAATTCATCAAAAGTCTAATTGTTTCTGTCAGACTTGCTGGTAGAGCTTGATGGTTCGATGATCTCCGACGAAGACCTATATGATGGCGAAGGGATAAGGGTAGCAGAGTAGGAAGTACCGGATGGATATTGCCGAAGATGGTTATTTCGCATGTCCATAATTCGGTGACGATTGCGTTCTCTGCGTTCCCGACGACGCTGCTCCTTCAGCTCATTGAAATCAACTGCGAAATAAAAGTTTTTAAATAAAATACAAAATTAGAAATCATTTTTGTTACTTGTGGATTGAGAAGGTTTGCTGGTACTATACAGCTGTGACTTAACCAGGTTCTCCCTGAATGTCTCACGTGATGGCCCGTCTTCCATTTGAAAGTTTAAGAAACTGCCACTACGCGATGGTCTGGGCAGGTTGTTTTGGTAGTAGCTTACATGGCTGGCGAAGAAAGAACTATGCGGCGACTCTGGCTTTTGGGACTAAAACAAAATATCAATTTAAAAATTAAATAGAAATAATAAGATTACTCCAAAATCCAAGAAGAACATTAAAACGAGTTACAGGAGTATATAATAGATACCTTTTGCGGGGTTTTCATGTATGCAGTCGACAATGGAGGTGGATTTTGACGCATCTTTGGCACAGCGTAGGGCATTTCATTAGGGAAGACCTCGTCCCAGTACTGATCCTTAACCAGTTCCGGATGCTCCTGGTGCATCTCGTCCACAATGCAGTAGGCAACGGTAATGTTTCGATCAATAATCCAATTTAGCTAAAGCAATAAGTTCCCGGTTAAATTCAAAGAAATTTGTCCCTAATTTATTTAAGATATAATCTCACCTCAAAATCATCGTCATCCTCTCCAAAGGGGTTGATCAAGGATTCGGCAACCTTAAGCCAACCCATGTAAAAGAAAAACTGAAGTAAGGTCAGGATAGGGAACCATTTCATAACACTTAACCCCTGCTGGTCACTACTTTCCGTCCATTGCTGTCCAAGGGCACTAAACAGGAAAAACGAATATGTGGCCAGGGTTACCACTTGGGTGTAGACCAATGGAATGCTAATCCAATCGTAGTAGAGCAAAAAACTACAACGTCCACGGAACACGTTCAACTCATCCATGATCGTCTTTACAGCGTAATCATCCCGGATCTTATTCTCGCTCCGAGCTCTCATCACAATGCTGGCTGCCCAAACAATGGGCATCCAGTGCTTTGGATAAGTTGGAAAGGCTTGCTCGATAGCCTCTATGATCTTCTTCTCATTTTCCACCATAAATCCAGCATCAATGATTTCATTATAAGTGGGAAATCGACGCTTAACGCGAGGCGAGATCAAGGTGAAAGCTATCACCTGACACAGGCAAACATATCGCAAGATTGTGCGCCTCATGACCCTGGCTCTATCATCAGAGCCATGGATACTGGTGCTTACCAAAATGGCAATCCCATCTGGCCAAGGAATGGTAGTGTATTGATCCCACCAGCGCCTCATCACAATCGTTACGTAAAACCCCAACACGAAAGACAGGGGAATGAGAGAACCCTTGTCTAAACAATGAGAAGCAAGATTCTCAAAAAGCCTAAAATATTATATGAATTTATTTGCCGATTGAACTCAATGAATTCAAACTCACCTTTTGGCCTCTTCGTTCATCAACCAACGGTATGTTATCGCTAGCAAGAAGTACAGCCCAAAAAAGATAATAAGATCCACCCAGATCAACTTGTAAATGCTCCCACGCCATCTGCAAAATATAGTTATATTGGGGTATTTATCCTTGCTTCCTTAGGAGGACTTGCCTGACCAACAATCCGAGAAAATTGTTCACTACACTTGAGGTACTTACGCTGGAGGTGTAAGTCACAGTCATGTTTAAGCACTAAGAATTATTAAGTTACAATTTCTAGTTATTTAATGAATTGACAGCAAACGCAAGGGTTCTTTATATTTACAAATATTTCAAAAAATCATAAAAATTAAAATTTCAATATTACAAATTAGGGGTACTCAAATTCGCGTTTACTCAACTCACATTTACCAAACCAAATACAAGAGAGCGTACACAGCTGTACACTGAGAGAAAGAAAAACATATTTGCTAAGCAATTCATACCTCATTTTACTGACTCGCCAAATAGTCCATTGCGAAATAAACTCCAAAGCGCAAACAGAAGTTATAAGGAATGATTTCCAGTACATATGTACGAAGATGAACGAAGGATCAAGGAAGAAAGAAGATCGAATTGTTATGTCTTGGGTTGGTGACGGAATGAGACGGAAAGAGGAAAACGAAGGCAGTGAGCATTTACAAAAACAAACAGCCCTGACATTCAGCAGTACATAGTTTTGTCTCACCTACTCTTTACATTTGGTTAACTATCTGTTCGTACTAGTATAACATGAGAAAGTACCGAATTATGAACGAACTTGAAACGAGGGATCCAACACCTATGATGAGAAGAGCCATACAAATAATATTTTTGTGGCTTAGGAATCTATAGGAATCTGTGAGTTTTGCTGTCAATTCTTTAACAATTTAGAAATTGGAACTTTATAATATATAATTCTTAGTTTTCAAACATGACTGTGACTTACACCTCCAGCGTAAGTACCTCAAGTGTAGTGAACAATTTTCTCGGATTGTTGGTCAGGCAAGTCCTCCTAAGGAAGTGAGGAAAAAAATACTGTAATATTATTATATTTCGCAGATGGCGTGGTAGCATTTACAAGTTGATCTGGGTGGATCTTATTATCTTTTTTGGGCTGTACTTCTTGCTAGCGATAACATACCGTTGGTTGATGAACGAAGAGGCCAAAAGGTGAGTTTTAATTCATTGAATTCAATCGGCAAATAAATTCATATGATATTTTAGGCTTTTTGAGAATCTTGCTTCTCATTGTTTAGACAAGGGTTCTCTCATTCCCCTGTCTTTCGTGTTGGGGTTTTACGTAACGATTGTGATGAAGCGCTGGTGGGATCAATACACCACCATACCTTGGCCAGACGGAATTGCCATTTTGGTCAGCACCAGTATCCACGGCAGCGATGACAGAGCCAGGGTCATGAGGCGGACCATCCTGAGATATGTCTGCCTGTGTCAGGTTATAGTTTTCACCATGATCTCGCCTCGCGTTAAGCGTCGTTTCCCCACTTATAATCAAATCATTGAAGCTGGTTTTATGGTGGAAAATGAAAAGAAGATCATGGAGGCCTTGGATCAAGCCTTTCCAAGTTATCCAAAGCATTGGATGCCCATTGTTTGGGCAGCTAGCGTTGTGATGAGAGCTCGGAGGGAGCATAAAATCCGAGATGATTACGCCGTTAAGACGATCATTGATGAGTTGATCGTGTTCCGAGGACGTTGCAGTTTTTTGCTCTTTTATAAATTGATTAGCATTCCATTGGTCTACACCCAAGTGGTTACCCTGGCTACATATTCGTTTTTCCTGTTTAGTGCCCTTGGACAGCAATGGACGGAAAGTAGTGACCAGCCGGGGCAAAGTGTCATGAAATGGTTCCCCATTCTGACCTTACTTCAGTTTTTCTTTTACATGGGTTGGCTTAAGGTTGCCGAATCCTTGATCAACCCCTTTGGAGAGGATGACGATGATTTTGAGGTGAGATTATATCTTAAATAAATTAGGGACAAATTTCTTTGAATTTAACCGGGAACTTGTTGCTTTAGCTAAATTGGATTATTGATCGAAACATTACCGTTGCCTACTGCATTGTGGACGAGATGCACCAGGAGCATCCGGAACTGGTTAAGGATCAGTACTGGGACGAGGTCTTCCCTAATGAAATGCCCTACGCTGTGCCAAAGATGCGTCAAAATCCACCTTCAGCTTCGACTGCAAATATGAAAACCCCGCAAAAGGTATTTATTATATACTCCTGGAATTCGTTTTAATGTTTTGCATAGATTTTGGAGTAATCTTATTATTTCTATTTAATTTTTTAACTAATATTTGGTTTAAGTCCCAAAAACCAAAGTCGCCGCAAACTTCTGTTTTCCCCACCCGTGTAAGCTACTACCAAAACAACCTGCCCAGACCATCGCGTAGTGGCAGTTTCTTAAACTTTCAAATGGAAGACGGGCCATCACGTGAGACATTCAGGGAGAACCTGGTTAAGTCACAGCTGTATAGTACCAGCAAACCTTCTCAATCCACAAGTAACAAAAATGATTTCTAATTTTGTATTTTATTTAAAAACTTTTATTTCGCAGTTGATTTCAATGAGCTGAAGGAGCAACGTCGTCGGGAACGCAGAGAACGCAATCGTCACCGAATTATGGACATGCGAAATAACCATCTTCGGCAATATCCATCCGGTACTTCCTACTCTACTACCCTTATCCCTTCTCCATCATATAGGGCTTCGTCGGAGATCATCGAACCATCAATGTCTACCAGCAAGTCTGACAGAAACAATTCGACTTTTGATGAGTTACCAAAATAAAACTATTTTCAAATTTTTCACTTTTATAAACAATAAAAACAACAAACTGATGTTAAATGATTAAGTTTAATGATCAATTTTTACCAAAGTGAAATAAAGATTCCTCTCAAAGTTTTGTTATCTTAAGTAATATCAAATGTGTAACTCCTCACTTCTCATCTTCCTTGTCCTTATCCTTATCCTTATCCTTATCCTTGTCCTTCTTTCTCTGACTTAGGAAGCTCTTGTCGGTCTGAATCTCGGACTCACTCTTTAGGACCTTAGTGCGACTGTCACCTGCTTCTGATCCCAGTTCTCCTTTGAGCAACTCCATGGCCAGGGCAGCATTCTGGATCTGCCGGTTCACACGCTCCCTCTCCCGCTTCTCCCTTAGTCGATCAAAGTCGTCCTTGCTGCCGTAATCCAGTGTCATTGAACCGCCGTCGCCTTCCATTTCGTCTTCAACTTTTTCATCAAAATCGATGGTATCCCGACTCAGACTATCCGAGGAAAACGATACCGAAACGGAACTCTTGCTTACTCTAAACTCTCGACGGGCAAATCGAATGGTAATCTCAGGATTGGTTTCATCTTCATCTTCGAACTCTATATAGTCATTTTCAAGGCTAGCTTCGCTTTTAACGGATGGAATGGGATGGACTTTTGGGATGCCTAAGCGAGCGGTAGATGCTTCTGGATGTTCGGCCCTTTCAGATTCAACCAAATAGGGCAGTTCGTTGGGGAAGACCTCATCCCAATACTGATCCCTCACCAACTGCGGATGATCGTTGTGCATTTCGTCAACGATCAGGTAACTAACTTGCAGATTACGATCGATCAGCCAGTTAAGTTCAAAATCATCGTCATCATCGCCAAAGGGACAAATAAGGGTTTCGGCCACTTTAAGCCAACCCATAAAAAAGAAAAACTCTAGGGTGCTGAACAAGGGGAAGTAGTAACTAACGACATTATTATTAGCTGTATCCCGATCGATCCACTGATGGCCAAAAATAGAGGCCACGAAATACGAGTAGACGGCCAGGGTTACGACCTATATAAGGATCAGAAAAGATATATCTTAACCACATACTACTAGACTTACCTGTGTGTAAACCAATGGAACAGAGATCGTATCATAGTGGATGAGCATATTGCATCCAGCTCGGAATTTGTTAAGTTCATCAATCATGGACTTTAAAGAGAAGTCATCCCAGATGCGTCCTTCCTTTCGTGCTCTTGTCACTATACTCGTGGCCCAGACAATGGGCATCCAGTACTTGGGGTGCTTCGGAAACTTAGCATCCATGGCCTTTATAATATTCGCTTCGTTGGCATTCAGCAGACCCACTTCAATTAACTGATCATAAGTGGGAAAACGACGCTTTATCACTGGGGATATCATCGACAGCACCATGGTTAAGGCCAAGCAGACATATCTCATGATAGTGCGCCTCATTAGGCGACCATGTTCATCTTGTCCACGAACTAAGGCACTAACATAGACAGCCAAAGGATCTGGCCAGGGAACCGTGATGTATTGACTCCACCAGCGTTCTATAATAATGCCCACATAGAAACCCAGCACGAAGGATAGTGGAATCAGATTGCTATAGCTATGACAGTATATCACAATGTCCTCGAAAATGCTAATGAAAGGTATGTAAGATTAGATATAATAAGGTAAAAAGTCATAGAATTACTTACGGTTTATCGATATCCCTAAGAGCAAAACGGTACACCATAGCCATCAAATAGTAACAGCCCAGAAATGCCAGAAGATCAACCCATATAATCTTATAGATGCTCGCCCGCCATCTGCCGATAGTTCAGATATCACAGTTACTACTAGCATTAAGGCCAAACAAAGCAACGTCTCACCTCATCAAAAGCTTCCAGAAACAACCGAAATGGCTGCATGTTGCCACCTCAGCGGTGTACGAGACAGTCATACCCGAAAATTGTCAATTGGAAAACTTTAATAATACCGAACGGCTGGGAAATCGACTTGGCAATGGCAATGAGAATTGGAATGGGGAAAACACTTTCGTGAGGCCATAAGCAAAGCCAACTTTGAAATTAGTTCTAGTCTTCGGTTTTGCTTGGGGGTAATTTTCCCACTCAAGCATTAAACGAAGGCAATTTGGTAGGCGCGTCACATTTTGTGGGCGTAATTATTTAAATTAGATCATTTATATTTGCCGCCAGGCCAACAGACAACAAACCCACAAAGGCCAATTTGCCACACGCTCTTCCTGCTGCTGCTGCTGCCCGCACATGTGATGAAGTCTGCTCCTGTCTTCTCCTCCAGCTCCTTCCCATATATGTATACAATAAGAGTAGATATATACATATATATGCGGATATATGCCTGTCTGGCGGCATTAAGAAGGTGCAGTAAAATTTTAATACCCCAGCAAACATTCTCTGTGGCCATACCGTGATTTTTACCCCTTCCAACGGTGAAAGTGTGAAGAGCATTTCGAGTATCTTATCAGCATTTATTTGCTGAGTCGCTTGATATCATATAGCCAGTAATTGCAAAAAATTAAAGCTATTGACTTAAATTATATTAAATTAAATCAGTTATCAAAAGTTGAATATGGTTGGTAGCTTAGTGCTAATGGTAGAGAATATTGGATCAAGGAAAGTTTAAGCCAGGAGGAAGGATGTCGAGAACGTTTTTAGCATTGCTATCCCATCTCTATCTCTTCAGTTTTTTGATTGATATATAATAAAGGATTTAAAGGATTTAAAACAGTTAATCATACCTACAAAGGTAATGCACAATTTTCTTGCAATTAAAAAAGGTTTTCCATTAAAAATCATTTATCAACTTTTAAGTTTTCAACTTAAACTTTAAAGTACCTGATATAAAAACATAGAAAATGAGTAATACACACCTGATAAACTCAATAAAAAATTGGGTTTGGCTTAACAATTTTCATATTTCTAATCAGTTTATAGATAATTAAACAACTGCTAATGCTTGTATTCGTTTACAAACGAACTTAATATGGTGCCAAGAATGTAACGATGGAAATGTGGAATTTGCAAATGGAAATCGCTGAAATACTTTGAATAATCATCTAAACAGAACACTCCATAAAGATAATACTTACACCTGAGCAGTACAATCAAATCAGATTTATTTAATCGGCTTATCTCGTATCAGCGAATCATATCTGAAATTATGAAATCAAGCCAGCCATTCATTCACCTTCTTATATGGCTAGAGATTTACGTAATTGTAGATTGCACAGAGAGAGATAAGGCTTATAAGGTGGGTTCTATTGATACTTTTTAGTGCAGTTTAAATGAAATTAAATTTTAAATAAATATCTTAATTTAAAATACAAGTTTAAAACTCCAAACAAAGTCATAATATAAAGCGCATCGGAGCTTATCAACCGACTCGACCAGCTAATAAAATCTACAAATTGACACTCGGCAGCTAAGTACAACAAAAGCAGCAACATCTAGACCAAAAACAATAACAATGGGAAGAAGAACAGAAAGCATTTATAATTGTGTTCGTTTTAGCGATATTATTATTGCATTCCACCGCACTATGTGGAATTTGACCCGTTTTTGTGGCCAAAACTCATTTTTTGAAAATATACAAATTTACGTTTTTTCAATTTTACCAAGTTAAGAAATGATCAAAATGCTGTGTTACATACCTAAAATGTTAATTTAACAGCTTACTGTTAAAATACAAGCTGTTAAAGTCAGCTGTTGCAAGCGAAAACCACGTGCTGTTAAAAATGTTAATTTTGTGGTGCAACTTCAAATTTGCATATCTCTTAGAAAAAATCGTTAAAAAATCTAATTCAAATTGAATATTGATTCTTAAGGTTAATACTATTTTTTTATACTAATACGTTGTGTGTTTCGTTCGTATTTTTTAACAATTTGTATGTTTAGCAAGTGGTGTCCCTTTGTCACTTTTAGAAAGAAAGTTGAACTTTGCAAAGGGTTTTAAAAAAAGTTTCAAAGAGTATCAGTGAGTGTCCATAACCATGTTGTAGATTTGTCAATTCTGAATTCAGAATATATAAGCTCATTTGCGTTTATTTGCGAATCTTTGCGTAATTTGAATTTTTAGGAAGCAACCTCTTGTTCAGCAATGCACAAGTTTGGCGTAAGCAAGGGTGTAGAAGTAGAAGTCATCCAACTGTTGGCTGGTGAAATTTAGTTTTCAAATGGTATCGACGCAAGGAAAGAACAAAAATACATACTTTTTTTATATAATAATAATGAAATTGATGAAAATGATGCAGTTGAAAATGAATACCTAGAATAATACTACCAAAAAAATTTCTTTTTTAATAACTTCTAAATTTATTATCCGATCTGGACCAAATTTGCAGGACACAATTGAAATCGGACATTCATCCTGTGTTCCAAAATTGGGGTCTCTAACATGAAAATTGCGCTAAATATTAAACTTTTGTGGGCGGAGGGGGGGGCGTTGCCACGCCCACTTTTCAAAAATATCTTCCTTTAGTCATAACCATCATTATACAAGAAACCTGTAGTGGAAAATCTTGTTAATTTTAAAAATATTAATTTTGGCCACAAAAACGGGTCAAATTTCACATAGTGCACCGTCGTAGTGCTCTCTCTCTCTCTATATATAGGGGCTAGAATATTATCTTACACTTTCAGTTAACGTTATACACCGAAACCGTCAACAGCCGACGCTTTGTGACACTGTGAAAGAGAGAGAGTGATACAGTGCTTAAGAGAGATAGCAATACACGAGCGGGAGAAAAGTATGAATGTTCAAATCTAAAGCCAAAAAACAATAAAAAAAAATAAAAATGAAACGGTAGATCGGAAATGAACCAGAATGAATGTGAATACAAACAGTGTTATCTGAAAACAACATAAATAACAAAATACAGGAATTGCCTTGTAGTGGCGGAAAAAACAACAACAAAACAAACTGTTATTTTGCTATCGCAAAGATCATAAAACCGAAAGTCGGGAAAAAAAACAAAACAAAATCAAAAAGCAGCAGCCGGAATATCGCAGAAGCAACATCGAAAAAACATAGCAGCAATATGCGACGACGTCACACAGTGTGAATCAGGCCCTCTCCGTTACTCTTGTTTGCCCCCTCCCACTCGCACACCTGCTAATTTTTTATTTCGTATTCGCTCTAATTACAACCCAGATCATCTCAGCAGCCCTCCGATCGCCCGCCGCTCTCCTTATCTATCCTAAATCCAGATGACTTTTCGTCTCTTCTCGTCTCGTTCTTCGGCTCTTATCAGTTTCGCTTCGGGTGTGCACTGAAAGAAAGAATCAAGGATGTTAGTTTTAAATTGGTTTTTAAAAACTTAGGAAATATTTTGAATATTTCATTCTAAGATTGGTATTTTGTTCCTAATTTTAATATGATATTTTCTCTTATCCCTAAAAAACCCATATTTACTCTTCAAGTTTTAGGTAGATTTAAATCGCAGTGTACCCGGCTCTCTTCGTCCATGGCTAGCAATCACTTTCGTCGGGCTGCGGAGGAGCTTCGTGTTCGGCCTGCTGGCCTGGTGGTCTTATCTTAGGAGGAGTACGCGAAGAATTCGCGTCTGTAATACGACACCAACAAGCCTGCAGACCCTCTTAGATCGCCAAGTATGTCAGTCACACTTTTGTTGTCCGTTTTGTATTGTCTTGTGTGAGCGGAAATTAATAATAGACATTCAATTCATTAATAACAAACAGACAAAGGCGGGGCGCCGACAATATTTGCCCAGAGTGCAGTGGACCAACAACTGCATTTAAACTCAAACAGAAGCTCGGAAAAAAAGTGTTTCAAAGTCGGTGAGTAAGGCATCATCAAGTTTATTATAATTATATAAACGCAGCAACATAAGTTTCCATTCGACAACACTCACCTAGACCCACTTAATTATCTTCGTTGGGCGGAGAGCAAACGAATTATAAAGTTAATAATAGAAAGGCAAGCAAAGTTGCAAAAGATATTAAAGGTAAAAAAACTCAAGCATCTGATTCTTATCAAAGTGTGGTGTATTTTTCATAAGGAAAAGGTGTGGGTGCTTTGCTTAGTCACCTGTTGGGAAAATATATAATAATTCATAAAAAATTAATGATTTATGGCAGATGCAGTGAGGATTTACAAGGTTAACATATAGGAAGGTGTAAGGTTTGTTTGGGTAATGACAGAAACGTAATCTAAAGCTGTATTTTATTGAATCATCAGCAGTTAAAGGTAGAAAAGTTTGGGAAAGTAATTTCTAAAGATTTTTCTACCAACGAATAATAGTACTTGCTATATGAATATCTTTCTTATTAAATTTTCAACATATATATAGGTAACTCCTTGTTTTTCAACCTTCGCTAGAAAGGTGCTTCTGAAAACTTTTCCACTAGAACTTCTCCGTTCCCGAAACTTTCCCATATATAGCACTCCCCACATATAGATTACCTATATATACCCAATTCTAAGTGGAACAATTGAGTTCAGACTAGCAGCCGACAATAGCCTCGCCATTAACGATTACAATTTGAGCTCAATTATTTGCATTATACAATCGGACGGCGTCACAAGATAAGACAATACGTAGATCGAAGTGCATCATGATCTTGGCTAAACCTCTGAAACCAGCAATTTTTCCTTTCCAGAATTTCAGGGTTTACTGAACCTTCCCTAACGAATCAAGAGCGAGAGAGTGAGTGAGAGATTGACGAGAGAAATGGTTCAACAATTCTCGCCCTGGAAGGTTCTTACCCGCCGCAAAAACCTTCAAGCCGATGGCAGTGAAGGAGAAACGAAACTAAATCGCGTCTTGGGACTATGGGATCTAACGGCCCTGGGCGTTGGATCGACCTTGGGAGCAGGGGTCTATGTGCTGGCCGGACAGATAGCCAAGGATCAGGCGGGTCCCTCGGTGATGATATCGTTTGCCATCGCAGCATTGGCTTCTCTGCTGGCTGGTGAGTTTGATAGCAGCTACAGTGCAGGCTAAATGTAACGAATTTTAAGTGTTAATTAATATTAAATATAATTATTATTATTTTCTTATAACCTTTTTTCATTTTCCTTTTAGGAGTTTGCTATGCGGAATTTGGCGCCAGAGTTCCAAAGGCAGGATCGGCCTATGTCTATAGTTATGTCTGTATTGGGGAATTTGTGGCTTTTGTCATTGGCTGGAATCTGATTTTGGAATATGTCATTGGCACAGCGAGTGTTTGTAGGGGTATTAGCCTGTACCTGGACTCCTTGCTAAATGACACCTTGAAGAACACTTTTGCCGAAGTGGCTCCCATGAATGTTAGTTTTCTGGGTAGTTACTTTGACTTTTTGGCCTTTGGCTTAGTTGTGGTTTTTGGAGGTAAGAGTGAAAATATTATTCTTAAGAATTATTTAGTTTTTATTAATTAAAATCCTGTAATTTTGCAGTTGCACTTGCCTTTGGTGTGGAGACATCGACAATGGCAAACAATTTTGTGACCTGTCTGAATATATTTATTCTGGGATTCGTCATAATTGCTGGCGCAATAAAAGGTAAATATTGTTTAAGCTAATAGCACCTAAAACGGCAAGTTGTACTTGAAAATGATCGAAAATCTGTAAAAGATTTAGTCTTGTTTCTAAGTCTTCGTTCCTATACCGATATCTAAACAAACTTTATCTTTAATTTAGGTCAAGAAAAAGTATTTCAAGCATTTCAAGAATGTTTTAACAACCTAGTAAAGCAATCTGGATTATAGATACTTACCACTGATCTCCGATTATGTTCTTTTAATTAATTGATTATTGTTTTTCTCGACAGCTGACTTCTCCAACTGGACGGTGGATCCCAGTACTATTAGTGCGAATGCCACCATCGGTTCGGGTGGCTTCTTCCCCTTTGGTTTTGAGGGCACACTCCGTGGAGCTGCCACCTGCTTCTTTGGCTTCGTGGGCTTCGATTGCATTGCCACAACAGGAGAGGAGGTTCGAAATCCTCGTAAAAATATTCCAAAATCCATACTGCTATCCCTGTTGATAATCTTCCTGTGCTATTTCGGAGTGTCCACTGTACTAACACTGATGCTGCCGTACTACCTTCAAGATGCCAATGCCCCACTGCCATATGCCTTCGAATATGTGGGTTGGCCCGTGGCCATGTGGATAGTGACTATTGGTGGTTTAGTTGGTCTAATGGCGAGTCTTTTTGGAGCGCTATTCCCATTGCCCAGAGTGATGTACTCAATGGCCCAGGATGGTCTTTTGTTTAAATTTCTGGGGAAAGTGAGTCCGAGATTCCGAGTACCAGTCACTGGCTCCATCGTATCGGCTCTTTTCACGGCCGCAATTGCTGGTCTCTTCGATTTGGCCCAATTGGTCAGTCTGCTATCCATTGGCACTTTGCTGGCCTATAGTGTGGTGGCCATATCGATAATGCTACTGCGATATATGGACTATTGCGAGGTGGAGGAGAATCCAGGACAAAGGGAAGTCAGAGCCTCGGAGACCACCTCTTTGACCTCGAGCTCTGAGCGCTTCACTTGGGGTTCCGTTTGTACGCAACTTTTTAATGTTCATCGTTTAAGAGAGCCAAATGCGATTTCCTCCCGGATTGTAGGAGTGTTGGCTACATTGTTTTGTGAGTATATAAAATATAAAATTTGATTTTAATAATATTGTTTTGCGTACTTCAGGTCTGATTTCCTTGGGAATAGGAGTGCTGATAATGCAGGCTCATCATTTGATTGCCTCGAAAGAAGTCTGGGCCTTGACTCTTCTAGCCATCTTAGTCGTGTTAATGTTCCTGGATATCCTCTTGATTTGCCTCCAACCCAGAGAAGCTCGTCGCCGACTCTTCCGAGTGCCTTTTGTACCGATTGTTCCTGCCATCAGTATCTTCATCAATATATATCTAATGCTCCAGTTGGATAGTTGGACATGGATACGTTTCGGGGTCTGGATGATTGTGGGTAAGTCGGATTCTACACTTAACTGATTTTGCATGTGGTAGAATGTAATGCATGTGGCACTTTATGTACTTAACTTAAATGTCTTAGGTATACCCGTATTCCTTGCATGCTGGTATCTATACGATTGCAAGAATCCGCAGAAGAGAAATCCCGAAAGGTGGGCCTTCTATAAGGCACTGAAAGGATTGCAGGAAAGTCGAGAGCAGGAGTATCATTGCATATCCAAGGAGAGTGTCTTGACTTTAGAAACGCAGCTGAAGAAGAGTCCCAGCAGTAGTTTGGATCAAATCCAGAATCTAAGTGATGTTAGCGAAGATTTGATAGAAGTTAAAAATGCCAATGGAAAGATTTTATATGTGGAAGATACTAAGAGTGAAAATTCCACGGAAACTTTGGTTTGCGAAACTGAATCGCCAACGCGAGAGGATGAACAGTCTGTGATAGCCATGTTGGATTATGTCCTGGAAGCGGAGGATATACAACAAAGTCAACAGGAGTTGGATCTGCAACAGCAGATGATTTTCGAGAGGCATTTCAGCATGGATTCTGAGATGTATCCCAGTGTCATAGAAACGGTCATCGTGGCCACCGTTCATAGCAGCAGCGATGATGATGAAGTCCAAAATGGTAATCCCCTGAAGTTGAGTAAATATGAGGAATGCAAATTAGTGGCCCATCAAATGCTGGAGGAGCTATTCAATAGCGAGGCTTTCTACGAACAGTTGGTGATGGTTAAGGCCAAAAAGGTTGTCCTGGTGAAAGAGGCGAACGACGGTGAATCTGTGAAAGACTTCGAAGACCAAAAGCCTGTTTTTATGCGACAACGTTTACCATCGCAGGCCTCCCTGCAATCCCAGGCATCCGCCATTGAGGATCCTTTGCATTCGGCCAAGTTTAAAGACCGTTTAAGCCACCTCATTATGAATGCCAATGCCCAGCAGGTTAGAGGAGTGGCAAAGAGGTCCGAAGAGGAAGTCGAGGCAGAGGAGCAGGTGAAGCAGGCACAGGTTGAGGAGCCCAAAGCAAGGCCGTTGCTAAAGCAATCGAAAAGTGAAACCGATGTTCGTCGCTTAATGCTCAAGGCCATCAGTGAGCTGAAAATCGACCATAATGAGACTGGTAATGCTGATGAGGTCCTCACAGAAGTGCCCACCACCCCCGGAAGCTCCTCAACATCACGAGTTCCAGTTTCTGTTACCATTTCTAATGCAGTGGATGCAGGTGGCAACAACATACCGCGTCCACCGAAATTCGATCCGGTTCTGTACAAGACCATCAACAGCATTAGTTTGCGCAAAGAGCGACCCAGTTTGAGTCGACAGCATATCGTGGATGCCAAGAACCCGTCGTTTTTGCCACCGGAATCGCAGCCGGAGACGCATCCGGATCCTGGTGAGCAACCGGAGTCGGAGCCGTTGCCATTCAAAGCCAAATTGGAGGCCATATTGCAGCGGGGTCCCTCGCACCGTACCCAACAACATCCGGAATTGGTGCGTCGCCAACGTCCGCAGTCCACCTACATAGAAGTGGAAGAGGTGGAAAGCTGAGGGGTGACTCTACACATCCATACCATACCCTCTTTTCTGTACATTATGGAATACCAAAGCCCCAAAACCCAACCCCCACCCCTGGTGAAACCAAAGAGGGTGCCATTTTCCCCCCAGTTAAAAGTAGTTAAATCCTGCATTTGAATAGGAATGCAAATGTGGGTTGTGTTGTACATATCTAGCATAGCTGTAGTTACTAGTAGTTACTAGTTAGTACGGAATTCAAGCAATCCTAGCTGATAAGTACCAGGTGGATTGTGAGGGACCATAGAGATTCCCTGTTAATTAAATCTTAAGAGTTCTTAGCAAGTGAACTAAGCTGTTAAGTTGCACAAAAGTGCTGCAAATAAAGACAATATTCATATAGATTAAACTAATCACAGTCTCAATCCCTCACAATTACCCCATAAATTAACATGCATGCCAAGCTAACTCCAGACTAGTCTTTAAAGTATTAAATAAAAAAGGTATTATAAATGTCAAAACTAAGTGCATGCCTAAGATATTTCTAAGCTACGTAAACTAATCGGTTCTTTAATCGTATAGGACTATCCATATACTTTTTCTATGGACTGCCCAACAGCTACCGGGAAATGAAACGACAAAGGGCTGGCTGGCAGAAGCTCAAATATAGCGATCGACTCTAAACGGGGAAAATGTTGATAATTATGGTATATATATCTATCTAACTATATAGTTGCACATAAACGAATACGTCACTAAGCCAATTTGATAAATTGTGAACAATTTGTTGGTTATAAATAAAAATTGTAGTTGTAATTAATAAAAGTCAAATGAGTTTACCTGAGTGGCTACCCGACGAGAAGGAGAAAGGCAAGAAATGTTGATGGCAACTGCAGACGCTTCCGGAAACGATTCCCCGATGATCTTCCATAGAGTGTGCTTGGCATTGGTATTAATAACCCAATGAATGGGGATCGTTCATTGTCGTTTAATTCCCAGTGGCCTTGTCTTGAGGCTGCCTCTTCCTCGGCTGCTGCACTGACTTTGATAAATTAATTGGCATCGGCTGATCGGTGAGCCAGAGTGTGTGCACTCGTCTCGGGGAGTGTTTTTCCCCTTTGCCCTTTTTCGAGTTTTCCTTAGTGGGTTGAAGAATTATTTTACACAGAAAAAGAAAAGTAAAAGGGCAGTGGAGGGCTGCATTAGTGATGTTAATCTTATTTTTGGAATCAAATAGTTTCATAAACTGAAACTTATAATGCTTTTTGTTCAGTGTAACATTCCCCTTTGCTTTGATTTTGATTAGACGGAAACATCCCCTTGGGCTGCCGTTGCGGCAGCTTCCCCCTTTTCATCTCAGAACCAAACTATGCTCTGATTTATGCGGACATTCGTTTGGGCATTTCTTTGGTCAGGTTGCTGATGCTTCTGGTTCTTCTGCTACTGGGTGCTGCTTTTGATGCCAGTCTAGAGATTTGTATAACCACAAGACGAAAGGCGAAACAACTGGCGACTGTTTGGCGTCCCAACTCCACGGAAAAGATGGACTAGTTCATGTTGGGCAATGGAAATGGGTAAGGGAATGGAAATGGAAATGGAATGATGCGGGGATGGTGGCTGACGACTTTTGTGCTGCGTAAGTGTAACAAATTGTAATCGTATTTGGCGGGGACTTTGTCTGGGGCGTGCCCCTGACTTCTCCGCCTCTCCCCGGCTTTATTATTATTAACTTTGTTATGGGCCAGAAGAGAGAGAGGAGGCGGTATCTATCTAGTTGGTAGTCCCAGAAGTCGTCTGGTGGTTGTTTTGGTTCTTTGCTACACTTGCTCACAGACTGTCCGCCCCCTTTATCTAGTCGACCGTTCAAATAGTTTTATGGCATATTTATGGGCGCCAAAACTTAAAGTCCCTCTGGCTAAGACTTTAAGACTTCCAAAAAAAAAAGGGGGCGACTTTTTCTTAAGGGGGAGGTTAAGATCTCGCCCTCACTCTTATTGCCAGAGCATTGACATTGGTTTCTGTGACAAATTGGCAAAGAGCGAAACTAATTAATGCAGGGGGAGTGCGACAACTTTTGGATATTGCATTCCATTGGGGTTGGGGGTGAGAGCTGGTGGAGGCGGATGATGGGTTGGGTAAATATTCATATGGGTAAAGAAGATTCCATGAATAAGAGAGAAGGTTATGAGATCAGATATGGTAGAAGTTTGGGCCTTATAAATCTCAGTTAGTTAGAGTCACAAGTAGGTTCAAAGATATAGAAAATGGACTTTGAACTGTTCCTTTTTTAATCACAGATTAAATCAACTAGTAAAAGTAAATCCATTATTCATAATAAAAGCCGCCAAAAAATAATGTAAAAAGAGAATTCTTCCTTGAATAATTTACTCTTTTTCACTCTATTTACATTTTTTTCTACCTTTCTGTTCCAACTTCCTTTGATTTTCCCAACTCCAAATGAGTTAAGCTTTAACTCCCTCATTTTTTTGTTCCAAAACAATTTCTTTTCAAATTGGTTTTCGGTTATGTAATCGTTGCTCAGCTCTAATAACATTTTCAGCCATCCTAACTCCTTCGTTGCCATGTTTTTGTTTGAAGTTTCGTTAGTTTGTTATTATTCCCACTGCCGTCTAAAGCGGCTTTTCCATATTCATAAAAATTGCGAGTTTTACTCCATACACTCGCATTTCGACTGGACATAATCCTCTTAACGTGGCCGGTACAGGAAAACTCTCGCCGTATTCCAGTTCGACTTTGGTATGTCACTCACCCCCCTCTCCTACCTGATTTTCTCGTATTTTGTTTTTCTGGATTGTTTCGGAAAATTAAAATATGTCCGCTGGGTGTGTGGGTTGAGGGTTTTAGCCAGAAGCGGAAGTTGTCATCATCATTTGTCAGGTAAATGCGGGCAGCAGTTGCAGTTGCAGTTACAACAAACCTACCTACCTACTACCTACTGCCGGACTACCGACTGCTACCAAAGTCAATGGCACTCGACAAAAACATTTTGTCAAAACAACGAAGGCGGCTGCTACTGTACGCAAAGTGGATCAGTGGATTTGTCCCTTCCGAAATACAACAAAAACAAAAAAGAACTCATTTTCGTAGCAGCAACAGCTGCACAAATGCAGGACTTCAAACTTCAATCCAACGAAACCATGAAAAAATGGAAAAAAGGATTAGCATTTTGGTTTAGCTGTTAGCTCAATCGGCCATGACAGCCAGCCAACGGCGGATATGGTGCATGTTTTCAGGTTTTTTGGAACTTCTCTCTGGATGCTGGATTTTGGGTCTGCGGTTTGTGCCTGTACATATGTTAAGCAGGGGATTGCATTCGGATGAGATTAACCCATTCAGGGAGGAGGTTCGACCTGGCTAAATGAATTACTCTTTAATGGGATTGAAAAGGTATCCTGTGGCTGTGGTCCTGAGGTCAAGTTGAGGGAGATTAATAATGGGAAACTACTTTTGTTTCCGGTTGTTCATTCGGAAAAGGATTTTTTTTTAAGGAGATATATGGGTTTTCTTGAGAAGTTAACTTAGGGTTATTAATGAGGTAGAACTCTTCCGGTTTTGAAAATAATAATTGCAAGGAATATTTTCTGTTAAACCATGTCTGTTCATGAAATCAATATGAAACCTTTTACCCTGAGGGAGATTTTATAATAGTAAAAGTACATCGCATTGCCAAAGGCTGTTTAAACTTAATTGGTTTTTCATTTTCAAAAAAAACATGTTGATTAAATTGAATTTTTAACCAACAAAAAGCAGTTCCTATACAAAAAACGAACCTTCAACCCTGCTTTCTCTCATTTCACGCCTATCTCTACTTAACTTTCCAATATTTTTCTCAAACCCTTGACTCATTTACCACAACCCAATGCCAATTGAACATATTGTGTGGCAAAAATCTCTAAGAAAAAGTTATGACCTCTGATACTTACCTGAGAAATGCCTTCAAATAAGAAGAGATCTCTCTATTCCGAAGACACCTTGCCAATTTGTAATCAGGACTTTGTTTGAATTCCATTAGACTTCGCTTGATTTTTCAGCACTTCTTTTGAGACCTTTGACTGTCTATTAAAAATCCGAATCTTAACTATAGTCCTGTGGCTCCTACTCAACCATTCTTGGGTGCGCTCCTCATAATTGCTCCTTTGTCATTTGCCACAACGACGCACAAAGGATCGAAGAAAATGTTTGAGGGAAAATAATACGCTGTTGATTTTCTACTCTCGACTTCAATTGATTTCTATGAGCTATCCTGTGTGCCTCTAATTTTTTCTCATTTATCTTGTTTGGGACAAATGGTTTGTGCTTGTCATAACCTTTCCTACTTCTTTGATTTTCCTTTTCTGTTTTTAGAAAAAAAAAAAACTCTCCCTTTTCCCGGCTGCCTTGTAACCACCTCGGGCATTCGACAATTTTTTAAAGAAGAATAATATTTACCGAGCCACGCACAATGGCAGGACACTAAGAGAAGAGGTCTCTGGGACATTGGCATTGTTTTCGCATTCAATTCCCTGACAATAAGCATTATTGAGAAACTGAAATGTGGCCGGCCAGCAGCCTGCACACGTTCGCCCTGTCTCTGTCTCTTGGCCTCGTTCCATCCCTTTCTAAGTGTGTGAGTGCGCTTAGAATGTTAACCAAGCCAAACCAACCAAGCAATTCAAATTCAATTTGCCCCATTATGCGAGGCCCATTGTTCCTGGCTAAATTCTAAGGGGCTGTGAGGCATTTCTCCAAAGAGAGGGAGGGCGGGGGTGCATTGCAGAGTGCAACGGGCCAAGACTGCAAGCCAAGTTAAGTGCAATACAAAAGGCAGGCAGATTAAAAATGTGCAAAAGACGCATACACTGGGAGAAAATAGTAATAATATTTTATTTTACTTTTCTTGTTTTCAGAGCGTTAAGGCTAAAGAAGTTCCTTGCTATTAAATACACTGAAAAAAAAAGATTTTTAAATATTTTGAATATTTTTAGAATTTTTTTAAACCAAAATTAACAAAAATTTCAAGGAAATTTGAGTAAAAATCTTAAAATTTCAAAATTAAAATCTAAAAAATTTCAAAAAATATATATTTTTCTCTCTCTGTACATAGAAGGAGACATTGAGTGAAAGAGTGGGGAGGGCATCTTCAAGCTAAATGAATGCAATAAGTAAATAACAAAATGTCGTTAGCATTTTCTGACACACTCACTCTCCCTATTGCCCTCTCTTTCGCTCGCTGCCCCCTAGCCCCTTCTCTCTTTCTCATTCTCTGACTATATCTTTTCAGTTCTCGAGGACAATGGGAATGTCAGCAGTTGCAGTTGCATTTGCCGCTGACATCCTGGCCTGAATGCGGCAACAGAGACGGCCCAGCAACAACAACAACAACAGGCAGAGATAGCGAGAAGCGAGAATGGGGTACCGAGACTCGAGAAACAGGAACTAAATCTCTCTTTCTCCCTTTTCTCACAGCTGTCAGTGGCAACAAATTTGCGCGCAAAAGTTCGCATTAGAAAATGTGGGCGGAAAATGGTGGTGAAAGGGCTAGAAAATCTATGAGAGAAAATCAAACCTGGCTAAAAATACGAAAGTTGAATGCACTCTTTGACTGGTAAGCCATTAAACTGAATTTTCTCGATTTTATGTTTATATTTTGATAAACTAAAACTTGTATTTTAACCAAAAACAT